CCGTTACACAAAAATAATCCTTATAGCATGATTCAGTATTCACGTGCGACGGCGCGATGGCTTAATTCATGTATAAGTTTGGTGTTTCTATACCGATTTCTATGATTCTCTTTTTATTGAATAGGTAATAATGTTAACTTTTTTTAAATTAGGGATGAGTGAGAGTATTATAAACGTAAGAGTAAACAAATATAATCAGAATGCTCCGAACTGCTAAGCTATCAGGAGTTACACATGTTATTGTGAGTCAACCATAAAAGATAGGCATATGCTGTTGCGGAATATTTTTTAGACAATTTTATGTAGAATATTTCCGTCATACATAATTTCTATGTAACTTTAACCATTAAGGCTGCACACGCGACGGAAGCTTAAAAAATGGAGTAACTTCTCCCGTTTTCCCAACATTTCCCTTCATTACTCTGCTCCTATTGATTGTAGCGTGATGAAAACTATACTATAACCTGCCCAGGAGTATGAAGAATAATTGTACCAAGTTTCGTTAAAATCCGTCGAGTAGTTTTTGTTTCTATAAGGAACATACACACAGACAGACAGACAGACAGACAAAAATTTTACTGATTGCATTTTTGGCATCAGTATCGATCACTAATCACCCCCTGATAATTATTTTGAAAATATATTTCATGTACAGAATTGACCTCTCTACAGATTTATTATAAGTATAGAAGAAGATAAGATACTTTTCATTCGATACCGAGTTGGCCTCAATACTTTATGATAGATACCGTATCGAGTAAAAGTATCGATACCTAGATGGTATCGTTTCATCCCTAACTAAAATTTACAGTTTCAGGACCAACAACTTCGATTCTCAGGTTGTTGTTTCGCTAACTAAAACGACAGTATCTAGCTCAATGCTTACCAGTCCCTTGATATGTTTTATAGGAACTTGTACTGCATGTGTGAGCAGGATAACAGCCAACTTATTTTATGTATTTCTAACGTTGATAGTCCAGCATGATTCGACGTGAGTGTGTTAATTAAGTTTCTGATCAGTGAGTGACCGCGAAATCCAATTAACTTTACGAAACGAGCTCCGCACCCACGCTGATTTTCATCAATATGTTTATACTTAGCTCTGTTACTTTACCTAAACAATAGTCATTTACCTAAGTTACTGACAATATTTAAATCTGCACTCAAAAGCACAAATTTTATTTAATGCTTGTCAAAGTCGAACGTTTTCTTTTATGTTGGGATTGTGAACTTAACAGCATCATGAAATGCCACACTGGGAGACGTATGCTTAAAACCTTAAAATCTAGAACGACCGATAATATTTGAACGGCACCTACTTCCTTTGATTTGTTCTGCTTGATTTACCAAATATTAGCTTGGAAACGATTTACAATTTTTCGAAAACAATTTTTTCCATATTGTCTTAGATAAGGATGATAGTGAGTGTTACACCTCAATAGTATTTAGTTGTTTTATTTGAATTAAATTTTGGAAAATATCCAAAACGAATAACAATGAGAATCTAATTTATAACACAATATGTTCTCTAAGTTTTAGAAAGATTTATATGAATGTAATACTTTCAACTACGTTACTTATCCATACTACATACTATACTATACTATATACTATATACTATATACTATATACTATATACTATATACTATATACTATATACTATATACTATATACTATATACTATATACTATACTATATACTATATAATATTATAAATGGGAAAGTGTGTTTGTTTGGTTGTTTGTTTGTCTTCTCTTCACGCCTAAACCGCTGAACCGATTGTCATGAAATTTGGTATATGTATAGCTTGAACTTCTGAGACTGCTATAGGCTACTTTTTTTTTAATTTATGTATTCGAATTTACATAATTTTCAATGGTTTTCATGGTTGGTCCCGATAGAGATGGCGCTACTGTCACGAAGACAGATTAAATTTGAAATGTGGAAGTTGCTATCTTAACATACGAGATGGCACCACTCGTGTTCAATGCCGAGTATTTTGTGTTAGTGTTTCATTTATTAAATCGAGGTAATTTTACGCAATTTCTTTCTAATCTCATTTTTAAAATTAAATCTAGCAAATACTACTCTAAATTTTTAATATAAAAATATCATTTTCGAGTGATTATAGATTTTGGATGTTGCTTATAATAATATAGAGATGGCGCTACCATCTCGAATACCAACTCAACCGAGTAGTCTCTCTTGAAATAATATTTTCTGAGTAACTTAACAGATGGCACCACCCGTCTTTAAAATCCAGTATTTTTAATTGCTAAAAATGTGAGTTGTGATATTGCGTTTTTTCAGATCGCGCTATTTATGAACATGACTTTTTAATATTTATTGTTAACTAGCTGTTACCCGCTGCTACGCTCGCGTGGTTTTCCTATTTGAGGCTATCATCCTCTTTTGACATAGTGAGTAAAAAAGTAGCTTATAGCAACCTAAAGCTTCAACCTACATACTTACCAAATTTCAAAGTGGTTTAGGCTTCGAGGAAGGATAAACAAAACAAACACTCTCATAATAATACCTAATACTACTATGGATAGTACGTAATAAAACTTCAAAATGTAAAAGCATTAGTATTATTAGCATAAAGTTTTTAATTATTTTAAACACATAGCAGTACTATTTAAGTACGCTACTGTACACGATGTTATGTGTTTTTCCATCCGGGGCCAGAATGAATAGATTTTCAGCCTTAGACACACGCGAACATGCAACATACAACCCAAGATCAATGTGTTAAGTTAATCGTCAAAACGATTGCTTTTTAATATTCCTTTTAGTTTTTTTTTTTAATTTAATTATTATTATTTTAATAACAGATACTTAACATATATTATGTAGGTATGTAGATAGGTAATTCGTATTTTATTAAATTCAAGGTATTTACCTATCTAGGTACCTGCCGAAATAGTATGTGCACTTAGTAGATAATGTAGGTAGGTACCAATCAAGGTAGGTAGGTACCTATCTACAAAGGTATCTACCAAATAGGTAGCCCTTCTTACTCAACATCCAGGATCAATCTTCACTTGAAAATTATTGGATAATACTAGTATCTGTATACTGTAAACAGCTGATTATTTAATATCTATTTGATGTTTATAAGATTTTTAATACTAATGCTTTTACATTTTGAAGTTTTATTACGTACTATCCATAGTAGTATTAGGTATTATTATGAGAGTGTTTGTTTTGTTTATCCTTCCTCGAAGCCTAAACCACTTTGAAATTTGGTAAGTATGTAGGTTGAAGCTTTGGGTTGATATAAGCTACTTTTTTACTCACTATGTCAAAAGAGGATGATAGCCTCAAATAGGAAAACCACGCGAGCGTAGCAGCGGGTAACAGCTAGTTTAGATATAAACTATGAAAAGTGTGTTACTTTGAATCCATCAATACTAATAATATTATAAAGAGAAAAGATTTGATTGTTTGTATTGAATAGGCTCCGAAACTACTGGACTGACTTGAGAAATTCTTCAACATTTAGAAACCCACATTATCCCTGATGAACATAGGCTATAGAATATTTTGAAAATATTAGGGATTCGATGAAAACTTCGATAATGTAACCCAATATTTATTTATGTTAAATAAAATACCTTATATCGCATAATATGATTATGGTCATTGAGTTGACTGGTCTCTTTATTTTATTATGTTACCATGGAAACATGTTTAATCAAACTTGATAAAATACAGTTAATTTACATAGCAAGATTATAAATTTTATTTACTTACATATTTCTTCCCAACAGATCATAAACATGGTTGTTACAGACTCTTTGACTTAAAGACAACCTGTAATTTTGTACTTATTTTTATATGTCACTAAGAAAAATAAACCCAAAGACGATAAGACGGTGTTTTTCTTTTTCTTTATCAATTGTCCTTAGTCGCCGGTACAATGTTTATTTTAAGATTTGACAATGATCGAGGACATTAACCAATGGTACGGGGACAAACAAACCTTTTCAACAGCAAAGCATTGTTGCATTCGGTACTACGGGTCCTACCTAATACAAAATGCACTATTCTTTAGATTTTTTTTCACGGTAGGTTTATATAAAATTACTAGCTGACCCAGCAAACTTCGTACCGCCACAAAAAATAGGGGTGGTGGTAGAAGGGTGAAAATTTAGGGGTGTATGTATTTTTGTATGATGTATCATAAAAAAATTAAAGAAAAAAAATTTATCTAAAATTAAAAAACAATAGGGGTGGATTACCCATAACATTTAGGGGGATGAAAAATAGATGTTGTCCGATTCTCAGACCTACCCAATATGCACACAAAATTTCGTGAGAATCGGGAAAGCCGTTTCGGAAGAGTTTAACCACAAACACCGCGACACGAGAATTTTATATATTAAATGTATAATTCAAGCCTGAGAACAAAAACTTAATGTCTACATCGAAGCGAAGCGAGGGCGGGCCACTAGTTTATAATATTAAGCGAACGCCTACCTGTATCTGACAAATGAACTTGCCAAGCGTAGTTTTAGAGTTCAATAAAGTTCATGCAGAGTTCGAATGTCCTGTGGGAAGCCAAACGCGTTCATCATTATATGGATAATAAACTTGAAACAAGCACTTGCCTGTTATAACGATAAAACAATAATATACATTACACTATTAAGTAGCAAATCGCCATGGCATCACTCGGGTTCATTCAACTGTTTGATCTATTTCATTTATAGTGTTATAAGGTGTTGGTATTAAAGTTTATCGCTATGTGCCAACCGTTAACAGCAGCTATATTTAACGCTTGCTCATTATTAAGAAGATTTATAGTTAAATGAAATCGTAATAATTAGCCGGTGTTTGCTATAGTAAAAGCAGGTTTCCAATCTAATTTTTACACCGGCTCTTTTAGACTTTCGTGAATAAGGTTGCACCGAATAATGGCCTTGGTTCAGCCTGACTAGGAGACAATGATTGAAGTATGACTTTTCTGTCCCATTGGCTAACTATACAACTTGATTTCACTTGACGAGGACATTGCTGTGCCTCTTTCTTTCTAATTTCTAATGATTTTATAGTTAATAGTGGTACTTTTGAGTATCAAAATTTATAAAATTTGTCAAAGGTGAAAGTATATAATTGCGCCTCGTGAAAAATTAATATAGTTTTATTACCATCTAAAGAGGACCACTATTGATTTTAAGTGTGCGCGTAATCCAGACACGGCAAAGATACGTGCCGCAACAGATTAAGTTTTAGCCTTGACAGTATAAAAATACTTCTTTGCTCTAGTCTCTTCGATCTCGTTTTAAATTCTCCTTATATATATTACATAAATTACTTTGAAAAACTTACTTTAACTTGGTCCTGCTCGCCGGCGTACTCGATGCTCTGAAATATGGTCCACGTGTAACGCCTCCGTACTTCCATCCTCGCCAAATAACGCCTGTACCACTGCTGAATCAGGATGGCTGCCTTCATTGCTGCAACAATATTCTACTATTACTGATTCGTTATTGCATAGTAAAATAATATTATAACAACGTTTAAAAAACTGGCAAAGTACGAGTCGGACTCGCGCACAAAGAGCACCGTATCTATACATATAATAAAATGGTAGGAAAGTCAAAACTGTACATTGAATATTTTTTTAAAAGAATACTTGGGGTCTCTAATCTACAAGCGATAACGAAGCCAAAAATATAGTTTTTAGAATTTTTGTCTGTTTGTCTATATTTATGTCCGGGATAAACTCAAAAAGTACTGCAAGGATTTACTTCAAATTTGGCACGGATATTATTAAGAAGTTGGGTCAACATATAAGTTACATATTATCGCGCTATCACCTACGGGGAACGAGCAGTGAACCTTTATTTCTAACTAACTCCACGCGTACGACCGCTAGTATATCTATACAACATTAGATGCTATATTATAATATCGAGCAAAAACGGCAAAAAATCACACCTCTTCAATGGGAGTTCCTCTTAAATATTTATTTTGTTTTTATTTGATTATTTCTTTTTAAAGTTCAACAACAACTCAATAAATTCATCCTATTATGTAAGCTAACTAATATCACTGACTACATATATGAAATAATTTTTTTAAAGCGAGTAGTCTAGCAATCCGGTTGAATTTAACCATTTTAACATTGTCCTAATTGCAAAATGATATTTCACTCTATAACATATTGTTGTATAAGTACGTAGCTTCAGATTTTATTGATTATATTATCAATTTTATTTGTGTAGAACTCACCGAAATATAGTAAAACCAACTGTAACTTCTTATAGGTTGTAAAGTAGAGGAAAGTTGATATTTTAGCAGATTTGATGTTGACAAAATTCGATTGCCAACAGCTAAACTACCCGAAATATTGATTTTTCAATATGGAACTAAAATTCATATGACAACGTAGGACTTATGAGAACAAAAACTCTCATTAGTTCTACCGCAGATAACGGGTAGAAGAGGTGGGAATAAAGATTCCCACTAGTTCTACTGTTCTGTAATATTTTGAATCGTAGAACTAATGAGAAAAACGTTCTCATTTGTTCTACAGTATAACTGCTCAGTAGGACAATTGGGAAGAAACGCGTTTTTTTCAGCAGCCGCTCTGTGCTATTTTGTAAATACGTTCGTATAATGAAAACTACCTGTACATAGTTTTAAAAATATAATCAAATAACCATAGATGAATGATTGGTCTCGCTTCACTCGGCTAGATACTGCCGCGTATTTGACAAATGCGACAACAAATAAGTACTACTCTAAAGTCGGTGTAAGCGTTGTGGATAAGGTGTACATCCCGAATGTTTATTAAAATTTGGCCTTACTCGAAAGAAAAATACCAGTTTACACAGTGAAATAAAATTACAATAAATAAGATTACACTAAATAAGTCAGTGGGACACTGGGATTACATACTATCAATAGATTGAATTGAAAACAAAAAGATTGACAATGAAAGCATTTCTAAAAGAGCCCTTAGGCTCCCGAATACGATGTATGCGTACTGATAGTGTTGAAAAAGCTTTCGAGTTTGTGCAAGAGGTATTAAAAGTTATGTACTTCCAGAATCGTGTTGACCCAGTGGCAGAGAAAAAGACACAAAACTCACTTAAGCCATTCTCCATGGCATCGCCACCGGTTGCTATGCCTGCATTCAAACCGTTCAATTTCCCTGTACAACCGCCATCTAGAAAAAATTGGCAACCAGTCCAACCCACGTGTAGACCTAATGTTCATTCTCACGCGCCCACTCAGTACAGGCCTGCAGGTATGCCTTCGTGAACCCAGCAGATGTTCATTTTTTCATAATTACTTTAATGGGCTCATTGGATTACATCGTTTAGAAAAATGGGAGGCTTAAATTATTACTATCTGCTCGGAACTCTGAAAATCCTATTTATATGTATAATTCCCGCAACGTTAACTTGTACGAAGACATAATACCCGATAATTCCAGTAAGATAATTAGAATACCTATTAACCTACATGTTAGTAAAGTATTCATCGAAAAGCAAGTTATTTCTACTTGTCTTATTAACGAATGTCTAACTATAGTTAAGAATAACCACGGATTTTTAGCAGTAACAAGCCCCACTTCTCATCACGTAATCTTTTGCATGGACCATGCCGTCAAAGCCGAGGCATATAAGGTAGAGTCTTTTAATATCGAGTGCGCGCATACTAAACAAAGTAACACACAAGCGCAAGAGGTATTATGTCGCTTACGAACTAATCAGCTCAATCCCGAGGAACGTACAAATTTCGAAGCCTTATGCGAAAAATATGCTGACGTATTTTATCTGGAGAGAGAGCCCTTTAGCCTTTACAAATAAGATCAAACATAAGATTAGGACTACTGACGAAATACTGGTGTATAAAAGCTAAGATAAGATACGATAGGTAAAATGTTAAGTCAAGGCATCATCAGTCCTTCAGAGTCGGCTTGGACCTCACCAATTTGAATATACCCGAAAAGACTGATGCTTCAGGACGAATGAAATGGAGGCTCGTGCTAGATTTTAGTGAGCTTACCGAAAAAACTTATGGCGACAAGTATCTGATTCCTAATATCAATGATATCTTGGATAAGCTAGGGAACTGTCAATATTTCTTAATTCTTAATCTTGCTAGTGGATTCTACAAGGTTGACATGGATCCTGTAGATATTCCAAAGGCAGCATTTAATGTCGAAAACGGGCATAACGAATTTTTACGTATGGCAATGGGCTTGAAAAATTAACCATATACATTCCAAAGGGTAATAGATAACGTTCTTAAAGACCTTTAGAAAATGATTTGCTTGGCATACTTGGATGGTACCATCGTTTAACGCACACCTTGCAGGAGCACATGATCAACCTTAAAAAGGTATTTGTCAATTTAGGAGAATCAAATTTTAAAGTCGAAATGGACAAATCAGAGTTTTAAAGTAAGAAGCCGCTTATCTTGGTCATGTGTCTCGCGTAAGAAAGGACCCGTAGCTAAGAACCACCTCAATAGAGTGCCCAATTGTTACAGGGTGCTACTAGTCGTGACTGCTCCTTTGATGACGTCTTAAACGACGAATCAGAAGATAACCTTGACATCTTAAATCTACAGCTGAATAAGCAGCAGATTACGATGTAAGCATCAAACAACATTTGTCCATTTGTGTCAAATTGGCAAAGTAAAAAAAGCTTGACAAATGGGTGCCCCACGAACTGAATGATCTCAAGCGCAAACTACACGTCGAATCGAGCCTGCACTGATCAACAGGCACACAAACGAAGGCATATTGAATAGCATAGTTACTTGCAACTAAAATGGATTCTGTTCGACAATTGCAAGCTCTCAGCAAGTTGATTAGATCCTGGTTCAGCACCTAAGCAATGCCCCAAACGAAAACTTACCATTAAAATGTGATGGTCACTGTTTTGTGCTCAAGCGCCGGTGTCATTCATCACAGCTTTTTACCAAAAATACTGTGAAGAACTGAACAAAATTATGGAGAAGATCTCCAACCAACTTTACTCAAATTTTCGGCTCCACTGCGCCTGTATGACAACGCGCGAACTCATACTGCACAGCAGACGGTCTCCAAGTTACAAGAGCTGGGTCGGAAGTTCTCCGTCCATCGTACTCACTAGACCTTGCCCCTACAGACTTCTACTTTTTCCAGAATTTGGATAACTTCATAGCGGGAAAACAAATCAATAACCGAGAGGTAGTTTAAAATGCCTTTGAATAATTTGTTGAGTCCCGTCTAGCAGACTTTTTAAAAAGGACTTCAATAAGTTAGCTTATCGATGTATTTTTGCCAACATAGTGTTAGCACTACGTTGGCAAAAATGCATTGATTGCATGGGTAATTACTTTGATTAATATACAAAACTTTGATTAATGAAAAACGGAAATTTTACAGGTAAAGACCTAATATGTACGATGCATACATCTATTCAGAAAAATTTACACTTTGCGGTAGTTACATTGGTGGTCTGTTGACTTTTTTATATTGATATTGATGACCTTCTCTCTTAACAGGGCGATTAACTTACCAGATCTAGCTTCACCGTCTCAGAGGGCACAGGTCACGATAGGTCATCGGTAAATACGAGGTGAAATTCTGACCTTTCTCCGTTGTCTCAAGTGTGGATGATTGATCGTTGTTTTCCGTAATCATAACACAAGTGTTACGGCTTGTTACTTTGGGAATGGAACATTCATTTTTGGGATCCGTACCTTAGGGTAAAAACAGGATGCTATTAACCCACTCTTCGTCTGTCAGTCAGTCTTTCTGTCTGCCGGTCACCAGGCTGTATCTCATGAACCGTGTAAACTAGATACTTGAAATTTTCACAGATAATGTTCTTCTGTTGCCGCTATAACAAAGAATACTAAAAACAGAATAAAATAAATATTTAATGGGGGCTCCCATACAACAAATATCAACTCTACTTGTAGTAGATTTTTTGCCATTTTGTGCTCTATTTGGGAACGGCAACAGGTAGCTGATATATTCACAAAATAATTATTTGTATATTCACTTTAAAAATAAATAATACTATGAAAATAAAAAATTTAAGAGGATTCCCATATAACATAACGTGATTATTTTGCCGTTATTGTTCGATATTATAGTAATGATATAGTGTCTAGTGTTGTATAGATATGTAATAGTACGGAACCCTTCTTGCTCGACATGAGACAGATATATCAAAACGAAACTAAAAACCGATGTAACCGTTTATATATTAACTATAATAAATAGAAAGAGAGAAAGAAGAAAAAATAAGTTAAGCCACTATCGGTCATTGGATGGGGGACCAAAAACTTACTATCTCGAGCTCCTCCGTGCTTGAAAGACACGTTAAGTAATTAGGTCCAATTTCCCTATTCCTTACATAGGAAAGGGTTATGCCCTAGCAGTACAGACGAATTTTCGCTGTCCGGAGGAAAAAAGTACCCGCAATATTAAAACAAGAATCCAA